TGACCGAATCATCTGAATTTTGACCGAAATGAAAATTTTTTTATACCATTTTGGTCAAGTTAAGAAACCAGTACATACCGATTGTACCGATCGGTACGAAACGACATTGATAACATTGGCTGGTAATCATAACAAATTGAATAAATCTCATGAGTTTGAAGGAAATCATCAACGCACTGCAAAGGACTGGGGGGGGGGGGAGGGGGAAGAATTATTCTCACCATTAACAATCAATGGAGTTATGACTTAAGATTGTTGTTTTGCAACATCTCATCTCGAACAAATACCTTTCCAATAGGGCTCATCTTTAGAAATTTAGGGGTTTTGTTTGATACGCCCAACCCAAAATTCACAACAAGTTTGACATCCATACCATTGTACCCTAAAACAATGCGTGCCTTAAATAGTTCCGGGTGATCACCTACATCAAATATACTAACCATATTAAAGAGTATGGGTAAATAGATTAAGCAATTCAATAACTATGAAAATCATAATAATCAGTCATAAAAACTTGAATCTCTCATACAATTAACATCAAAATGTTAACTTCCTAAGGTACTTCTCAATCAAAATTCATCATGTTCATCCAAACATACTTTTGCATAACTAATTTAATATTATTAAAATGTTAAAACTTGCCCAACCATGTTAAAAAGTATGGGTAAATAGGTTAAGCAATTCATGTACAACTTACCTAACTCAACCTCAAGTGAGCAACACATGGGTCTGATCAAGATCAAGAAAATATTTTTATGGCATTATATGGATTTTCACCCTTTTTTAATGATTACTATTATTAAAATGCTAAAATCCTACCCTTCCCCACCCCTACAATGCTCATTTTTTCAACTTTAATTCCCCAATTGGGTTGCCTAAGTTGAAGTAAAAACAACTCCAACATCAATGACACCATTTCTTTAGTTGTAAATTAATAATAACTACTTCATCTTTGATTTCAAGTTTCAACAAAAAGTATCATAGAAAAATCAAATATCTTTATTAACAAAAATTATCGAATTTTTATGGTTGAGTGGCAGGTAGAGTCATGTTGGCCTCATCTGCTCTTTCTTCAATTCCCAACTATTACATGCAAACCTTGTGGCTTCCCTCATCTATCCACAATTAGATTGATAGAATCCCCAGGAATTTCATTAGGGAAGCAGATGATTGCCACCATGAACTACATCTTGTTGGCTAGGATACCTTTTGTCAACTAAAAAATTATGGGGGTTTGGGTATTAAGAAGGCTAGGGATGCAAACCTTATTGCTATGACCAAGTTCAATTGGAGACTTCACATGGATAAGGGAAATCTGTGGAGAGAGGTCATATATGAGAAATACAAGATTGATGAACTCCATACATCCTTGCCTACAAGTGGTTCTCTTGTCGTCAAGTGTCTTGCTAAGGGTAATTCTATCTTCAAGGATGGTATCTGATGGATCCCTTACATTGGTCATTCTATCCTATTTTGGTTAGATTGCTGGGTTGGCAAGGCACCATTGAATACTATTCTATATGGTCCTTTTTCTCAGTATGTTGCTAATTTGTTGCTTTTAGATATCCTCGTTAATGATTCCATTTACCTGGATGTGGTTGAGTACCCCATTCCCTAGGAGATTGTGAGCAATCACAGCAATCCCTCTTCTTCACTATGCCAATAATTTGGATCATTTCTTCTTGGCGGGTGAACTTGACAGGCGTTTCTCATCTGCTTCCACACTCCGTATGCTCACTAATAAGACCTCAAATTAGCAAGACTGGAGATGGATTTGGAAAACTCCCACTATCCCCAAAATTCAAACTTTTTTATGGCTTCTTTTTCATGGTAGAGTTAAAACTCTTTATTATTGTCATAACTCAAATTTTTATCAAAAAAAAAAATCAAAAATATAAAAATATGAAAATTTCCCTTTTCTTTGACTAATATATCTTTATTTTGTTTCAGGTGCTACATGCAAAAAAAGAAATTGGAAAATTCAAGAAGAAAAAAGAAGGGACTCAATTGAAGAAATTAAAAGTTGGAGGGGTGAAGTTCATCAAAATGAATTTACAAACCCAAACCCAAAACCCATCAAAACCCAAACCAAAATTACCCAAAAACCCAATCAAAACCCAAACCAAAATTACCCAAAAAGCCCAAAATCCCAAAACCCATTTAACCCAAGCCCAAAAACAAAAAAAGAACAAGAAAAAAAGAAAAAAGAAAAAAAGGAAAACAAGAAAAGAAAGAAAAAAAGGGGAAGGCATCGGGAACTTTCCCCTTCCCCCCATCATTTTTTTTTTTTTCATTTTTCTTCTCCCTTCCGAACCAGCCCTGCCTAGCCTTGCACCAGCCCGCGCCCAATGCC